GGCCAACAGTGTATTCCATACCATGGGACGTCCTGTCTAGTTTAGGAACTGGGAAGTGGGGAGCAGGGATTTGCTGCTTGGGGACTGGGTGTCGGTCGGCGGGTGGTGAGCAATTGCCCTGCGCATCATTTGTACATTCCAATCCTTTTATTATTGCTGTTGTCATTTTATTAGTGTTATCATTATCATTATTAGTCTCTTCTTTTCTGTTCTATTAAATCGTTCTTATCTCAACCCAGGAGTTTTACTTCTTTTCCTGATTTTCTCCCCCATGCCACTGGATGGGGGGGAGTGAGTGAGCGGCTACGTGGTGCTTAGTTGCTGGCTGGGGTTAAACCACGACAACAGGTCACTTTTAAATTCACCAGACCTGTGATCATGGAATTCAAGCTCCAGTGTTTAAACTTTCAAGCTGCTCTTAGTTTTTAAATTCCCTATCACTGGAAAAATAGCTGAGTAAAATACCTACGCTATACTTACCTCCAGAAAAAGGTTTGCATTCTAAGACCTCCAACTTTGAAAAAACCCACAATTACTTGCTGGCTAATTTCATACTTCCTGAAGTACCTGTAACCACCAAAATGAGGGGTTGTCTGTCTAAAGCTCTGTAATGCAGAGGTCAGCTATTCAAATGTGCAGACATGTTGCTGTAGGCCACCTGAAGCCCAAGACAAAAGCAGTTTTTTGGAAAGTTGGGAACTTTTGATCCTTTGAAATGCAGTGGAGGCAAAGACTGAAGTTCTGTGCTATTCTCAAAAGGCCACAGAGACAAATATCCTCCTTCTCACTCCCCTTCCCTGGCTTCCAGAGACTGGCTGGTAGGTACAGTACCTAAGTGCTTGCCATGACTGTCAGGAGTGGTACATTCCTGTCTGCAAAAATTAAAATGTTTTAACCATAGCTTCTGTTTTACCTTAAGACAGGCTGAATGCAGGCCTATACCCATCTCAGCGTGACAACAGGAACGCTGGAAATTTAGCAGTTGTTCACTAACCAACTGCCAACAATGTCAATATGACTGACATCAGCCTGCAAGAAGGGGAAAGATTCTGAGAAAAAAAAAAAAAGGCATTGGAAACAACTGGCATGAGATGAAGATGAAATCATACATAACTTATGAAGCTCTTTGTGGCACCAGAACCTACAGATAAAATACAAGTTCAATCCAAAACAGACAAGATTCCAGGAATTCCCCTTTTCTACCAGTGCCATCAGCAAAATTTACTACTTGAGTCTGAAGAATTATGTTTAGAGGATAAATCACTAAATCTGAAATAAAATTGCCAGTTGTTTCTTTACAAAGAAAACCAAAATTTTTCCTTATGTAGGTGCAATTTATAATTAAATTCACCATAACCTACTACTTTGCTGCAAAGATGCTAATACCACCACACTCAGAAAATTAAAAATTAATAAGGCAGATGAAAGCCTTTGACCTATCCTCTGTGGAACATTTGGGAGAAAAATGCATTTCACAGAATGGAGTCAGGCATACATGATTTTCATTTATTTAACAGTGTTGTCATGAGATTCAGGCATCTCCCCTTGCAAGAAACTCTCATTATCAGAGTCTAAGAGGTTATCAGTAGGACCATTAAAAGACTTTTGTAATTCTGATGTATGATGATTAACTACCCAGTGTAGCAGAAAAAAATGGTTAAACGGAGTCAGCGGCATCACATGTTTCAAGGACAACAAATAAAACTGCAGAAAACCAGGCCAGTCTCATTTATTTTGCCACTAAAAGTGCAGGGGAATGCACATAGAGTGGTACCAACCCACAACAGCACTTCTGAGAAGTGCTGTCAGGGAAGAAATAAAATACATGCATTCGTTTTCCCCATGGCCACTGTCACAGCCAAATGACTGAGACACCAAGATATTCCATTAAATTCACAAAGATGCTCCCTTTTGGCTTGAAAGCATTATAATACCTCACAGCTATGATGAAATCAGGGTTTTGAGTCCTCTCCAGACCTGTGCACACAGGACTGCACTTAAACACTGCTTGTGTCTCAGATGAGGGAGCTTGCACTGACTCCTAGACTATTTTCCATTGCTCCAAAAACACTGTTTACTAGTACCATGAGTGCTCCATTGCTGCTGCTGGGTTCCACCCATTCTAACAATAATCACTCCTCTCATGCCATGAGGTGTCAGGACAGTGGTAATAGGCAGGCAACACAGAGAGTTCAGATTTACTACTATAAATCCTTTTAGCCAAACCAACCAATTTGCTGTCAGAAAGTGAAGCAACAGGTGTCTTGCAGAGGAGAAACAAGTAATTGTAAGGAGGGACTTGCATTACCTTTGATTTAAGTAATTTCTTCACAGTGGAGCTGCAGGATGTCAGCGATTATTCCTGAGAGCAAAGTGTAGAGAGTGAAGCTACAACTTAACCCACAGTGAAGGCACACAAAGCTCCCTCCCATGAAGCACAGCTGTGGGTTGTTTTGTTTGTCAGGTTTTGGGGTGTTTTTTTTTTTTAAAGAGTACAATCATCACAGTATAAATAGAAGTGGCTGCACTTGCTCCTTTCACTGAAATCCCTGGGAGATGCAACTGGATGAAACATCTCTTCCCAGACTGTGACAATCTGAATGACAGGCAGCATCCGTTTGGGTACCAGATGACAGCTGATGATACTCACACTCTGAGTGGTCTGACCAGCAGTGCAATGCAAGGACTGAGTTTAGGGAGACTCTGAACTCACTTTCTGTCTCATTTACTAGCCTTCTATAAACGATCATTGCCAAAACTCAGTCTGCAGAGGGAAGACTGGATGAAAACAGCTACAAGCTGAAGCAGAAGTCTGAAATTAGCCGGCAAGGAGAGAAAAGTCTCTCAGAAAAAGATCGGAATGAGAAATAAAGTGAAATTACTCATATAAAAACAGTGTGCTGAGCAGCAGTCAGGAGGACAGAAAAAGATCCCTCTGACATATGCTCTAGTTGAAGATTAGCCCAATACTAAGTAATAAGACATTAAATAATTAAATAATGTATTAATAATACAATACACTAATACAAATAATGCAAATAATGCATTAAATAATGTATTAATACATAGTACATTAAAAATGGAAAGAAAAATGTTTTCCCAGGAAAGTTTGATCCATTGTCTCCTTGAGATTGTACGTAGAGATCACAATGAAGCATGGTACAAGGAGCCCTGTGCTGTCCCTGATCATGTCTTCTCCAGCTGAAGCAGTACAGCCAGTGTAACAGCATAGCTTAACTCAAGAAGCAGAGCTTACTATTTTATATTGAGCACTGGATCCAGTCATCTTGGGTGATTACTGTACTTCTGGACCCAGGCTAGCATCTCCGCACTTCTTGCACTATATGAGATAGTCACACCAGCTCCACACAGCACTAAGCTGAAGGTCTCTGCACCCAAAAACTTTATAAGACATTCACTACAGTCTTTCATTCCTTGTGTTTAACATGGGCTATGGAAACTACAAAACCAGCATTGTTCATCTCCTGAAGAAGACTCCAATTCAGCTTTCCATAAATAAAAGTAACTAGGAAAAACTTCTTGGGCCACTGAAAAGAAAGAAAATGCTGATCCAGTGAAGAAAAACCTGAACGGTTTGCAGCAAACTTTGCCAGACCAAGGATTAAAACAGAAGATCCAAATAAAGAGCAACATTCTTATTACCACTTGCCCACCCAATGCCATATTGCTGATTCAAGAGACAAACTTCCCACTAACTTCATTGTTACGGCATCAAGGCATGGTAGTGACACTCAGTCTCCCTTTAAAAACACTGCCTGTGAAAGTTACTTCCCTAAACAATGGCACTATATCTGGGGGACGGGGAGGGGAAGCTGGAGAAATGTAGTTGTTTTTTCATTTGCAAATCATCTATCACTGCAGCACAAAGTAAAATGAAAATCTTAACATTCAACTGAGTTTCGATACAAAAAATAATACTGTTACTGCACAGGATTTTCATAAACTCATGATGTAATCCAATTCAAAACCCCCACTTATTTTCAGAAAGTGTCCTGTATCAAAAACCATAGCCTTTTCTGTAGATCCCTTTCACATTTCTTAACATGTTCTGTGTTACATTGTTTCATGCATTAAAATTACTGCAGATCAAAACTTAAAATGGACTATGGTCCAGCATTCACCTTTCACATGTAAACACATCACATACAGCTTTAATCAACTTTTGAAAGGGATGCAAAGCAAAATTAATATATGAAAGAAACACTAAAGATAAAGAAATAAAGACATAAAGACAGAGTCTGACGGGAATGTTTGAATGTAATTACAAATGCAGAAAAGCTGGCTGTTTGTGAACTTTCCAACTTTCTGCAAAGAAAATGGTAAAGGGCCAAAGTTTTGCTAATCAATGACTGCAATAATCTGTTTGGAATTGTATGTACTTCGCTAATTGAATATTTTCATCTGCTCAGAACAGCTACATTGCAGCTTACTGGCTGGATAGTAATGAAAATCAGGCAAAAAAATGTTAAGTGGATGTGACTGCCAAAAATAAAGAGCTTATAAATAAAAAGGAAATAGCATTCATATTTTTCTTTGTCTTGAGCATTTCTCTGCTCATCTAAGCCTTTTAAAGCCCTTCAACAGTCCTTTTAATATAGCAGCAAATAATCCTGGATATACTGCATGTCCGACCCAGGTTTTACTTCAGCTTTATCCTGTTTTCTGATTTCCAGTAATACATCACCTTTGCATTAGAGCCTCTCTGGAGCCCAGGCAATTCACAACTAATCACTGAAGTGAGCAAGCTATTGTAAAGGCTTAACAAGCTCTAGTCCTCAATCTTGCATTGTGATTACCTCAGAATAATTACTTCTGGAGATAACTGATGAAGATCATATTAGGCTAAGGCGAAACAGACACCCGGCTAAGTGTAAATCAATTACAGCTGAAAAGAGAGGAGAGGGGACAAAAATATTAAAGGACTATTGCCATTATTTATGGAGCAGTCATGGAGAATTCAAATAATTTCTTATACTTACAATAGCTGTTGGAGTTGAAGCCAGCACACAGTAGAGCACAAGAGGTGAAATGAAGCTCTCATCCTCTGTTCCAGGGTACGGTTTCATCAAATTGCCATCCTGACAGAAGAAACCCTGGATATGCACCTGAAAAGTATCGGTGCACTCGAAGTAGTAGGCGAGCAGAACAGTCCCAGCCATGATGACAAGCTGAAAGTACAACATGGTCACACAGATGTTAGTTGCTTTTTTAACAGATGCAGCTATGCCTTCGAGCTACTCTAGTCCTGCAGACCATCCTCCCTTTATCGTCACCCTGACAGCCCTTGCAATAATGGTGTGTGAGTGTGTCTGTTTCTGCGCGTCCGCTTTGCAACATCTGTTACATAAACCTTTTGGCAAACAGCACTAATGAATGTCTCAGATAGGAGTGGGTCCGTATTGTAGAGGGACGGGAGCTTTGACAGCCACTTTATCAGAGGGCATGTGAGTGTCAATGGCAGCAACAATCAATGAAAGCTAGCAGAACGAGGGGCAGCGCTGCAGGAGCCAACAGTAGTGACAAGCTAAAACCTGTGCACAGCAGTAGGGAGCTGGAAAGGATTATTACAAAGGATAAAGGGAGCTAAAGCCAAAATGCTTCCCTGCTGCAGCTGTAAACTCATGCTGGGGAATGTGCATCCTGTGCTAATCCAGAAGAGCCCTCTGTGTCCCAGATGAAGACTCATCCAGAGCGAAATCTGCCTCCTGCCACTCACCTTTCCTTGGAACCACTGCTTGCAAGTAAAGCTTTAAAAGTCTACTCAGAAATCCTGACTCCCTAACAACTGGTTGGGGCTACTGTGCACTGCCTGGCTTCCCCACTCCACCACAACTGCTTTTGAAAAAGACTCTGGCTTGAGTCTGGATCTTCATCTTTACACATAAAAACTGCAAGGAGCCTTTCTTGTCTCTTTTTTGGTAGTTTATTGCTGGCTAAATGGGTTGCTTGGAAAACTTCGGCTATCAACTCTTTTTGTACATTGCCACAGTTACTGCACGTGAGCTATTGTCACTGTCTGTGTCAGCTTCCCACACTGCTTCAACAACACATCTCAAAATGATCTCACAAAGGTTGTCGCTAATCACCTCATGAAGTTAAGCAGATATACTAATTCATCATTCTTGTTCACTCTCTGCCAGACTGCAAAGGAAATCTCACGTCACAATCCTCATAATTTAAAAAAATAGCAATACTGATTTGGAAATTATGGCAATTACAGGATCTGATTCAGAATCCTCTTTATAGAGACTATTGCCTCCTGCCACTATTACAAGAGTTATCACATATACAAGTTATCTTGCCACACCATAGAAAATAATAGTAATAAAGGAAGTGAAATAATGAACTCCAAAGTATTTTGTCACCAAAATTTCTGCAGCAAAACTGTGTTGCTGTGAGATTATTGTAAGAATAGACCTTTAAAAAACAATTTCAGCAACTCCGTCTCAAAGATACACTTACAAGCTATCCCTGCATTCCTCTGGCCTAACCTTGCACGTGTGTTCTGACACACGAGACAGCCATTAAAGTCATCATCTATTTGAGTGGGTGTTGGATTAAAATTAGGAAAAAAAAATGAAATCAGAGAAATCACTTGTGAAAGTAGAAGATCACAGAATCACAGAGTGGTTGAGGCTGGAAGGGACCTCTGCAGGTCATCTGGTCCAATGCCGTTGCTCAGGCAGAGACACCTTGAGCCTGTTGTCCAGGACCATGTCCAGACGGCTTTTGAGTATCTCCAAGGATGGAGACTCCACAGTCTCCCTGAGCAACCTGTAAGATAGACTTAAGTAGGGCAAAGTGAAGGCAAAGTTGAGAGATTCTGCACTCTCCCCCATTTTTTACCTTCAAAATTAACAATTTCATTCTGTAGCCAGATTCTAAAACCCACAGATTAATTCCACCTCTGGAAAATACAGCCTGGATTGTTTAATGATTTTAGGTCAAACAGTTAGCTCTATGTATTCAAACATCAACTTATGCTGATTACAGAATTATGGTACAAAGTTAAATTTATATGGACAAAGCACATAGCCCCTTTTTAGAAGCTTAAGCAAGTAAGAATCTACATAATTATTTCCCCTAAAAATGCATGTTCTCTATTTCTCCCACCCTGATTTACAGCATGAATGTAATATATCAACATAAAATGTTAATAAAGCATTTGTTTTCTGAAGATTCTGGCTTCCTTCTGATGATTCAGTAACTTTAAGATCCAGAACTTTGAAATCTACCTCCCCACAATGAATTGCAGATAAGCTAACCATGTATGGTCAGTACAGGGCAGTTGCTCTCTGTCGCTCCTTCCTGCTCACACTTCTGCTATGTTCTGCAGCGTCCATTGGAGACAGCTGGAACTGGCTGGAAACTTTAAAGATTTAGGCTGTATATTTTCTCCTATGCAATATCTACCTCTAAAGGTGTGTGAACAAATGTATTCTCTTGCATAATTTTATCCGGATCGTATAATAATAGCTTTAGATGGAACTGCTAGAGTATTCAATTTCTTAAAAGTGTAGCTGAAAAAGTACTTAACTTTTCTCAACTTTCATTGTTTATCCTGACATTTTCAAGACCCCATACCTGCTCAAAAGGAATTTTTTTTAACAAATAGAAAACAAGATGCTGTTATTTGTGTTCTCCCCAGAGACGGTTACAGCATCCTGGACGAGTCAGTGGGATGCCCTATAAACAAACAAGAGTCCTATAATTAAGGACTTAATTTAACTCCTTGAGCAGCTATAGATTTCCTGATCAACCTTGGGCAACTCAGTTTTATAAATTAACATCAGAGGAAGGCAATGACACTGTCACTACTCTACCTGACATGGCCAGACAAACACGTTTGAGATTACAGGATGACTGGATACAGAGGTATTTAAGCTCAGTTCCAGCACCTGCTATGTCCTGGCCTGTCAGAAGTGAGAACTTCTTTTCCTTTTCCCTTCCCTTTTTCTCTTCCTCTTTCCCTTCCACTTGGTGACTATTTCGTATGTATTTATTGTGGCATGAGTGAGATTTTTGTTGTTTGTGCGGGAGAAATTCTAATCATAACTGCTCAGCAGTGGTAATTTGTGACCGAGGAATGATCTGGCAGGAAGGGCAAGAAGGCACAACTGCAAGAAGGGGTCAAACTGTCTGGAAGCAGGGATGCCAGAGACAGCAGGACTCCCTGCAAGGGAGTGACGTTTCCCTTGGTGATAAGAAATAGCTGCAGCATTGCCTTGTAGCCATCCTGGAAGGGGAGCGCTCAGGGGCCCAAGTTCAGGGGCCACCTCTGCGCAATGGAGCTGGGGCAGGGGGTGGACCCACAGCTGGGCTGAGGTGACCCACGCAACCGCTCTTGGGATCGGTGCTGGCGCAAGTGTATATAAGGAATTGGCTCCTGATGCATCTCTGCAGACTCCCTGTAGAACCACTTATGGCAGTAGGACTCTGCCCAAAGCATCGTTCATTAATTTTTTCTTTATATTGAAGCACAAACGTGTGTTTAATTTCCCTCAATGGGTACCATAAAAATTCCCCAACATTTGTTTTGATATACTGGTCACAGATGCCTTAATCAACTTCAGTCCCCTAACCTTTTTTGATTTCAAAAGCTAGGACTTAAAATTACAAATGCACAAATCCCTAATTTTTGTAGCCGTCAGTTTGCAGCAGATAACAACTCTGCCTTTTCTCCCTGTTTTCAGGTTTACAGTCATTGAAGGAAGCAGTGAAGAAGAGCAGGTAGGCTGACATAAGATAAAGACACAAAACATCCAGTTACATAATTCAGAAAACACAATGCAGTTTAACACTGACATTTTGCAGGGTTTTTTTATTAATCCTTATCAACTCATTTCCTTGAGTTTACTTGGGAAAAATTAAAAATGCTCAATAATTCACTTTAGAAAAGCAGCCAATGAATAGAAGTGTCTAAGGTGCTTAATGGCCTCCATTACCACAGTATTTAACCATGTCATAATCCTTAATGTTTATCATCACTACTCCATTGTAAGATAAGAAAATGCTCTTATCACCATTTTACAGAGAGGGGACAAAAGCAGAGGGGATAAAATGACTGCCCTTAGGTCACAGTAGAGCCTGTGGCACAGCCAAGATTTACCTTTCTTCTGGACCAGATTTTTCTGGATTAGTCAATAATCTGCACATGAAAAAACTCAATGATACATGCTTAGGTCCTGATTCTGCAGAAGCTCATTCATGACAGTGTGTCTGATTCACCCCCATTTAAAAACTCCTACTTGATTTTAGATCAAGCTTAACAAGCTGGACTCGAACAATTGATGTGTGTTTTTTCCTCAAAGCCAGCTATTTAAATGGATTAATTCTGTAGCACGTAACACCTGTCCCTTGCCACACCATTAAATTCTGCACCACTCTACAAGCCCACACTGATTCTGTCCTTGCAGACCTTCCTATCACTGTACACCCTTGCTCCTCTTTAAGTTGTGGGAGTTCTCTGCAATCAAAAAAATCACTTCCTTAAATGTGCAAGATGTTTATGAAGCAAGTCTTGCAATCTTCTTTGGGCAATCAGTAATTGTTTGGTGGAGGTGCTAATCAGGTATTAGTGTAAGATTGTGTCCTGAGTATAAAGGAAGATAATCATCAAAGTAAGCAGTACAATTCAGTTGCACTAATCCCAGAGCTACTGGGATGCATCCAGAAATCCTTCCCCTCCCCTTAATACTCTGACAGCATAACTCAGTGTTTCCAGTTTGTGTGGAGCGGGTTTTTTTCTTTGGTAGTGGGGGAGGGGCTGCAGGGCCGGCTCCTGTGAGAAGCTGCCAGAAGCTTCCCCAGCTCCGAGTGGGACCCGCCGCTGGCCAAGGCTGAGCCGGTCAGCGATGGCGGGAGCCCTCGGGGAGAACAGGTTTAAGAAGGGAAAAATGTTGCTGTGCAACAGAAACTGCACTTAGAGAGAGGAGTGAGAATATGTGAGAGAAACAGCCCTGCAGACCCCCAGGTGAGTGCAGAAGGAGGGGGAGGAGATGCTCCAGGCGCCGGAGCAGAGATTCCCCTGCAGCCCGTGGGGAAGACCATGGTGAGGCAGGCTGTCCCCCTGCAGCCCAGGGAGGTCCATGGGGCAGCAGATATCCACCTGCAGCCTGGGGAGGACCCCACGCCGGAGCTGGTGGGTGCCTGAAGGAGGCTGTGACCC